GGGAGTTGTCCCTCGGTGGCGGGGGCTGCTGAAGAGCAGGGGGTGTGGCTGGTGTCTGCTGGAGAACAGGGGAGCCATCTCGGGGCTGCTGGGGTGTATAGCGGAGGTCTCTTGGTAGCTGGGGGATAGCAGGGGGATCCCTCAGTAGTTGCAGCTGCTGTGGAGCGGTGGGGCGGGGGGTCTCTCACTGGCTGGAGCAGCGGGGGGGGGGGGAGATCCCCAGCAGTTGGGGCAGCAGGAGAGTGGCTGGTGGGGCCCCCGGTGGCTGAAGCGGCTGGTGGGCAGCTGGGGAGTGCGTCGGCAGCTGGAGTGTCTGGTGATCGGCGGGCAGGTCTCTCGGGTTCTGGAGCAGCTCACCTGTGGGGGGGCAGTCCCCCGGTGGCTGGTAAGCAGGGGAGAACCCCTCTGTGGCTGGGGGGCAGTGGGGCTCGGCATCTGGGGCAGCTCACACGTGGCGGGGCTGACCCTTGGCTGCTGGTGAGCGGCGGGGGAGTCCCTCTGCGGCTGGAGTGCAGTGGGGGCATCTCTCTGCCTTTGGAGCAGCTGGCATGTGGCGGGGCAGTCTCCCGGTGGCTGGAGCTGCCGGTGGGCGGCGGGTCGGAGCCTTGCTTGCTGGAGCGCATCAGAAAGCTCCGCAGGCACCATGAGCGGCGGCGGCTGCTGGGGCGCGGGGCAGGAGAGCGGCTCAGGCAGCCGGGGCTGGGGCGCGTGGCTGGGCTCCCTGGGCCGCACAGGAAGTGGCAGCCGGGGTGCGGGGCAGGAATCCCCCGGCGGCCCGAGCAGCAGGGGCTGGGGCGTGTGGCGGGGGTCCCCAGGTTGCATTAGCAGCAGCAGCTGGGGCGCAGGGCCGGGATCCCCCAGTGGCTCGGGCATCAGCGGCTGGGGCATGTGGCGGGGGCCCCCAGGCTGCGTGAGCGGGGGCCCCCAGGCTGCGTGAGCGGGGGCCCCCAGGCTGCGTGAGCGGCGGCCGGGGACAGGGTGCGGGGCAGCAATCCCCCAGCGGCTTAAGCAGCAGCGGCTGGGGCGCGTGGCGGTAGCGCCCCGGTGGCATGGGCGGCGGCCGGGGTATGGGAGGGGGCAGCCCCCCGGTGGCATGGGTGGTGGGGAAGCCGCGGGAGAGTCTCCTGGGGGGGTAGATGCTGGGGCTCAGCGGGGCAGTTACCTGGCGCCGGGAGCGACAGCTGGGCAGCGGGGTTTTTTCCGGCAGCTGGGACATGTGGGGACAGACTCCTGGCGGTAGCAGCAGCTGGGCGGCAGTGGATCTCTCCGGCAGCAGGGGAGTGGGGGGGCAGTCTCTCAGCGGTTGCGGCTGCTGGCGATTAGCAGGCGATTCTTCCTGTGGCAGGAGCCCGGCGGGGCAGACTCCCGGCGGCTGGAGAGTGGGGTGTAGGTTCCTCCTCTTGGTGATGTCTCAGCAGGCTGGTCTCGAGATGTGGGAGCTGCTTGCGGCAGCATCTCGGGGGGGGGGCGGGGGCGGATCCTTCCTGTTCTCGTTCTTCCCTCTGGATCTGCTGGTTCGCCATGTCCCCGAGGGCAGTGGCCGGGAGCCTGTGCAGAGCAGTCGGGCGTGCTGGGGCAGTGGTCGGTGTCTTGGGCTGTGTTTTAGGGGCAGCAGGATGCATCTCGGGGCACCATTAGCTCTTGTGGAGTAGCAGATACAGTGGTGTAGCAGCTTATCATAAAAAAGATGATTAAACTGATAAGAACAGATATAAAATTTTATTAGAAAATGTTTAAAAATAGATGATACAGAGAGTTTGAAACGTCAGTTATTGGTCATTGGGGGTGTCAAGGCTGCTTCCCCACTTTTGAACTTTAGGGTACAAATGTGGGGGCCTGCATGAAAACTTCTAAGCTTAACTACCAGCTTAGATCTGGTCCGCTGCCACCACTCCCAAAGCTAATTCCCTTCCCTGGGTAGCCTTGAGAGACTCTTCACCAATTCCCTGGTGAATACAGATCCAAACAAGGAAAAATCAATCAGGTTCTTAAAAAGAAGGCTTTTAATTAAAGAAAAAGGTAAAAATCATCTCTGTAAAATCAGGATGGAAAATAACTTTACAGGGTAATCAAACTTAAAGAGCTCAGAGGACCCTCCCTCTAGCCTTAGGTTCAAAGTACAGCAAACAGAGATGAAACACTCTAGCAAAAGGTACCTTTACAAGTTGAGAAAACAAAGAGAAACTAACACGCTTTGCCTGGCTGTTTACTTACAAGTTTGAAATATGAGAGACTTGTTTAGAAAGATTTGGAGAGCCTGGATTGATGTCTGGTCCCTCTTAGTCCCAAGAGCGAACAACTTCCCAAAACAAAGCGCACAAACAAAAGCCTTCCCTCCCACCAAGATTTGAAAGTATCTTGTCCCCTTATTGGTCCTTTGGGTCAGATGTCAGCCAGGTTACCTGAGCTTCTTAACCCTTTACAGGTAAAAGGATTTTGGAGTCTCTGGCCAGGAGGGATTTTATAGTACTGTACACAGGAGAGCTGTTACCCTTCCCTTTATAGTTATGACAGGGGGTAACATACAGAGTATAGGGGGATGCTAGTATTTTGGTATTGGACAGCACAAAACATATACAGTCTACAATGTCCCCGATTTTGGGGGGGGGGGTGTATACAGTGGGTGAGATCAAGATACAGTCAGCAAGCAGTGAGGGTACATCACTCATACAAAAAGTACAGGCAGTTGTGGGTATATAATTAAGCAGGCCGGGTAATGGGGATGGGTGACCCTCGCATGATGGGGTTCGGTTCGGTGTGCTCAGAGAATAGGCTCCAACAGAGAGAGTCTACTGGTCTCTTAGCCAAAAGGCAGAGAAGTTTTTTCACTTCAAGGTCCCAGAAGCAAAGACAAGGTTTTCATCTTAAGGCCAAAAGACCAAAAACATCAAGACACTTGATCACGGCCTTGGATAGACCAAGAGACTACCTACACTTGACCAGAGCTCAGAGAGCCGGGAAGCTGCAATATGCTGCAAAACGAGACAGCCGTACCTCCGCCACAGCTTTCTACATCACGACAAGGAGCTCCCAGACAAGGACCAAATGCCATCAAGGAGACTTGGACAACTAGGAAACTCTTAAGTGACAATCACTCCCCCTAAATCACTCCAATGTAATAATTCAAAGCAAGAACTCCACACAATTCTGCTTAAAGACCGAGAATTCTTTCAGTCTGGTTACTTGGGTTCCTTTCGCTGCTTTCCCTGGCTGCTGCTGCGTACTCCTAGATTGCATAAACCCACCCACTTCCTGTGACGTACTCGGTCACTGTTAACTCTCGCAGCAAAACAGATACAAGAAAACGTGTGCAAGCATTATCCCGGCTGGCCAAACTGCATGGGGCTCTTTTACAGTTAGTGCGGCTCCTGGAGCTCTGCCCCATTCTCCACCTACCAGACTGGGGGGGGAGCTCAGGGCTTCTGCCCTGCGGCAGGATAGTGGTGCTAGGGGCTTCTGCTGGAGGAGACTGGTGCCTGCCACTTTCCATGCACAGAATGATTAGGGCAGATTGCCTAGAAAAATGCTGCAAGAAAAGCTGACCTCTCTCTCTTAGTGTTCGCTTCTCTATCTTCTGTCTCACCCAGGACCGCTCATTAATTTCGAGGAAAACACCGCGGACACGCACACTGACAACAAGCGATGTACGTGAAAAAGAGAGAATGGTAATCGTTTGGCAGGCATTGAGAGAGTGAGAAAATCTAGCTTATATTCAAGAAAAAATAACTATTCTAGGCTTTAATAGCCTACAAATCATAGATGCACATAGTTTGAAATCACTTGCTCACCAAGTTCTCAGAATATTTCGATTGATCGATAGATCTTCCTTCGCTTCTCTCAAAACCCTCTATCCTTTCATCAGCACTCTGTGATATTTACTGTAAAGTTTCCCAAAACTGATGGAGGGAAGCCAAAACAAGATCCGCTCGACCCAAGTCCATAAGACGATCACCTGCAAACTCAGTCATGTGAAGCATGGATAACGCATGAAGCGGAAAGCAGCGTGTGCACTAAAGTACACAATTGTATCTATACAGATCAAAAGAAGAAAACCCACGAACCCTTAAGAAAATGAAGAAAAACACTATATGACTGAGCATGCTGGACTGTAAACAAAAGACGGTTGCTTTGTAAAACTCATTTGTTCTTTGTGTAGCAACTCCTGGATGATTATCCAAAATGCTTCATCGTGGGAGCAGACAATGTAGGATCCAAACAGATGCAGCAGATTCGCATGTCCCTGCGTAGGAAAGCTGTCGTGCTGATGGGGAAGAACACCATGATGCGCAAGGCTATCCGTGGTCATCTGGAGAATAACGCTGCTTTGGAAAAGTGAGTAAAATACTGTGATTCCACACTCTGTTCCTGGGGAAGACTGTATGTTCCCTGGAGGAGTGAAACTGAATGGTGCTGTCTTTCCCCCAGGCTGTTGCCTCATATCCATGGGAATGTGGGCTTTGTGTTCACCAAGAAGGATCTGACTGAGATCAGGGACATGCTGTTGGCTGACAAGGTAAGGGAGGAGGACACTGTTATAGTGCGTCTACTCAGGGAGGTCTTGGGGCCTGATCTGAAGGAAGGAGAGAGTGTAACACTGAACATTCTCTGTGGATGTGTGATTTTTAGAAGGGAGAAAGATACTGACCCCACCCATCCTGTTTCGGTTTTACTACTCAGGGCTCTCTAGAGTTCTGAGCACTCCTTTTTCATGGAGGTTATTGTTAATTTAGCCTTGTGGTAATGACTTTGAGATGGGAAAGTTGGTTTAATCCCTCCATAGGCAGGGTAGGAGGCAACATGATCCAGTGAATAGGGCACCAGAGAATCAGAACAAAATGGCTTTTGTTTCAAACTCTGCCCATGACTTTCTGTCTGATCTTGGATAAGTCACTTAACCTTGCTGTGTTTGTTTTCCCAATTGTACAGTAACTCCTCACTTAATGTTGTAGTTATGTTCCTGAAAAATGTGACTTTATGCGAAACGATGTTAAATGAATCCAATTTCCCCATAAGAATTAATGTAAATGCGGGGGGGGAGGGTTAGGGGGAAATTTTTTTTGCCAGACAAAAGACATTATATACATATGCAGTATAAGTTTTAAACCATTTTAAACACTTTAATATTGTACACAACAATGAATGATTGTGAAGCTTGGTTGAGGTGGTGGAGTAAGAGGGTGGGATATTTCCCAGGGAATGCCTTGCTGCTAAATGATGAACTAGCACTTGGCTGAGCCCTCAAGGGTTAACAAGCTGTTGTTAATATAGCCTCACACTCTACAAGGCAGCATGGACTGAGGCAGGAGGGAGGAAACACAATAGATGCAGGGCAGTGGCTGCAGACACTGAACATGATGATGAGCCCACGCTCTCCAGCTAGAGCGCACCACTCCCTCCTCCTGACAGCACAGGCACGGCTGCACACGTGCTGACTTTCCAAAGTGCTTGGGGGTGTGTGCATGAGTGATAGAGATGTGTGTTGCCCCTTTAAGTATGCTGGCCCCACTTCAAGTATGCTGCCCTTTTAAGAAGTTCAGACAGGAAGCATTGGCTTCCAGCAAGCTCCCCCCTTTCTGTCCCTGAGCCCTGTCCCCCTCCTCTGCTTTGTGGAGAGGGGGTATGGAGCGGGGGGTGTGTGTGCGGCAGGAGCAGGGGGACATCCTGACATCAGCGCCCCTCTTCTCTTCCCCTCCCACCCCCCGCAAGCAGGAAGCTCCCGAGAGCAGCTCCAAGGCAGAGGGCAGGTCAGGAGCAGCAGGGGAGCACCTGAACTGCTGCTGGGCAGCTGCTGAGTCTCATACCTTACAGGGAATTTAGGGGAGCTGATGGGGAGATGCCAGCCCCTCCGGTTCTAATCCCCAAGAGGAGGAGCTGCTCTTCCAGGGAATCCTGCAAGCGGTGGACAAAGCAGGCGGCTGCCAAACAATGTAATAAGGGAGCATTGCGCAACTTGAAACGAGCCTGTTCCCTAATAGATCAGCAACGTAACAACGAACATCGTTAACCGGGACAACATTAAGTGAGGAGTTACTGTACGGTAAACCTGAGCCTGCTCTGAGACTATGGAGGAACAGCTCCATAAAAATGCAAAGGATCGTCTCCTGTATCCCATGTTAAGCATCCTAGATGCAGTTTGTTAGAGGGGAGATAGAAGCTGCGTCCAGGGAATGACCAACAGAAATGATTCAGTTACTTGTGAACTGGCTGGATGTGAAGTGATTTGACTTATAAAATGACCTTGAATGAAGGAACAATCTGACTGCTCATGGCAAATTTATAAATCTCCGTGCTCAGAGAGGTGAGAACTATTTAGATATATCTTTACGGCCACAAATACCGCCCGCACGCTCATATTAGCAGACTGTGGAAAAGTAGCAAGAACAGGGAGACAGCTTTTTCAGTGTTCCAATTTCTGCTGCTGTTATTTCGTTCTCAAGTTAATAGAACTCCCCCTGCAGCTCTAGGACCCCGAGAGCTGCTTCCAGCAGCCTCCTCAAACTGCACAGTCCACCTGCTGTCTGGTATTTTTAAGTTGCTGCAGCTGTGACTTTTTCCTGATCCATGACAAGTTTTAACCACATCAGTTCTTTCTGCTGATCACAATGAAAGCTGGTTCTTGAATTAGTTCAGCAGCAGCCTGACAGTCCTCATTCTGGTTAAAGCCGTTCAGGGTATATCTACGCTGCACTAAAACACCTGCAGCTGTCCCGTGTCAGCTGACTGGGGTTTGTGGGCCTTGGGCTATAAAATTGCAGGGTAGACGCTTGGGCCAGGACCCCAGGGTCCCAGAGCCCAGGCTTAAGCCTGAGCCTGGACATCTGCACTGCAGTTTGATAGCCAAGCGAGCCCAAGGCTGCTGACATGGTCCAGCCGCGGGTGTTTATTGCAGTGTAGACATACCCTAAGGGTAAGCAATGTAAACCCAGGGTTCAGACGCAGGCTCAGCGGTAATCCCCTTCCATCTACACACAGATTGCACTAACCCAAGGTCTCAGGGCCCTACAGGGCTGAAAGGTCCAAACCTGAGTCAAGCTGGGACCCAGGGTTCAAGCCCTGTTGGTTTGCTGTGTTGATGCAGCCCCACTGGACTCATGCTCTGGCAGTCTGCCAAAAGTATCCCACAATCCTATGGCTGATATTTTTGGTGGATAGTCAAGTTTTCCCACAGTGCATCATGAACAAAGGGCTAGAGCGGCCACATTTTGGGAGGGCGCTAGGAAGTCTGGGATTTGGGTGGCTGGACTCAGGTCTGTGTAATGCAGTGGAGACAGTGGAGCCCCAGGTTGGCACTCAGGGTTCAGCAATTCCTAACCTGAGGTTACAAATGCTGAAGCCCTAGATTAACAAACCCAGGATCTGTTAACCCGAGTTCTACTCATCCTGGTCTATATTGCAGTGTAGACACACCCAAACATGGATGCCCAGACCTTTCCCAACTCAAGCAGTAATGGCAGTTGCCAGGGGCATGAGGACTGCATGCAAATGGCACAAAATGGAGCAGTTTGCAGCTTCCCTTGTTTGTTAATCTCGGGGCATGGCTGGCGGGTCCCAGCAAGAGGTGCAGCCTGGCTGCGTGGATCAAGATGACACATTGCATACGGGGGTTACAACATCGGTGGACTTCACCTTCAGATTCAAGATGTGGGTAGCCACTGGTCGTATTCTGGAACTCCAGGGTTGTCATTTGTACTGTAGGCTTTGTGGAGTCCTAAAGCCTGTAACAATACCATTCTGATATGGCAGGGAGATAGATAGTGGGTGTGATTGTCGGTCACAGGACTGGCAGCCAGGAAGTGTTAGTTTCCAATCTGGATTAGAAATCAACTTGTTTTGTGACATTAAAGAAATCACTTCTCTCTGTGCCTCAGTTTTTCCTATCTGATAAACTGTGGTAAACTTATTTCCCTCCCAGAGTGGTTGCAAAGATTAATGTCTACAGCACTCTGAAGATGCAAAGCACTACAAGTGCTAAGTATTGGTATGAAAATGGGGAGTGGGGGTGCGGAATATCCCTAAGCGATAAATAGTATCTAAAACAAACATCACACACAGTTCTATATTAAAATAACATTAAATGTACATATTTAATGTGGTGTTATGATGGTCATTAAAAATTGTTTAAGTGGAGTAGCACCCTAGAAGTTAAAGGATTGTGTAGCAGTTTATTGGGGCTTAGAGAGACCTTATGCCTTGCTGGTGGGTTTCTGTCACCATGTACCCTGCTGTATGCTGTTTTATCACTTAGTAGTTAAGGAGGCTAGACCAGGGGTGGGCAAACTACGGCCTGCAGGCTGGATCCGGCCCCTCAGGGCTTTGGATCCGGCCTGTGGGACTGCCTCGGGTGGCGCCGCGGGCCCCGCGCTGTTCTCAGAAGCGGCCGGCACCACTTCCCTGCGGCCCCCGGACCAGGGGGCAGAGGGTTCTGTGCATTGCCCTTGCCTCCAGGCAGTGCCCCCCACAGCTCCCATTGGCCGGGAATGGGGAACCGCAGCCAATGGGAACTTCAGGGGAGGTACCTGGAGGGGTGGCAAGGGCAGCACACGCGGAGCCCTCCGCCCCCGCTCCCCGCAGCACTTCCTGGAGCGGCGTGGGGCCGGGGACAGGGCAGGCAGGCAGGGAGCCTGCTGTGGCCCCAGTGTGCGCCGCTGCCACCCTGGAGCCGCTTTAGGTAAGCGGCGCTGGGCCAGAGACCAAACCCCACCTGCACCCTGCCCCCCAACTCCCTGCCTGCACCTCACACCCCACCTGCACCCCAACCCCTGCCTTGAGCTTCCTCGTACACCCTGCACCCCTCCTGCACCCCTGCCCTGAGCCCACTTTGCACTTCGCACCCCTCCTGCACCCCAACCCCCTTCCCAGAGCCCCCTCATACATTCCGCACCCTTCCTCTGCCCCAATATCTTGCCCTGAGCCGCTTCCTGCACACCGCACTCCCTCCCACACACCGCACTCCCTCCTGCACCCTAACCCTCTGCCCCAGCCCTGCATACAATTTCCCCACCCAGATGTGGCCCTCGGCCCAAAAAGTTTGCTCATCCCTGGGCTAGACAGCAGAATGCAAAACTTCAGTTGCCTTCCCTTCCTCTAAACCAGCCATGCTTCACCTCTTCCTCAAGGAGGGAATTTCTTTCTTGCTTTTGTGATGTCAGTGGAAACAAATGACTTTCTTCTATGCTAGCTAATGGTTCTGCTTCTCTTCTGCATATCCCTGATCTGCAGTCTGTTAACCCTGTGCTACATGCAGCCATAGAAATCTTTGTTCATTGCTGCTATTGCAGAGTGAGGACACAGCTGATCAGCTGCTTTGTTGCTAATGTGCTCCAACAATGAGCACCAGCTGATACTATGCTGAGTGCATTTATTGATTGTGTTTTTAGTGTGTACATTAAATGTCTTGGGTTCCTGACAAGGTGCCTGTGGGGCTCTTGTTACAAAGCTTTCCCCAGACCCCACCATGCTTTATATTTCACCCCAAAGGGGGGTGACTCCAGTTTTACACTCCTCTTTTCCCTCTCAACCCAGTTTTCCCAACAAGCAGAAGTCTGCAGAACCATCTGCCACCATGATGAGCTCTTCATTGGGCAGCAACCTGTCAGAACTGGACCGACTACTCCTAGCAGGGCCGGCTCCAGGTACCAGGCAACCAAGCACATGCTTGGGGCGGCACCTGGTAAGGGGCAGCCAATCTTGGGGTGGCGGGGGGCGGCGCGGTGTTCGGTGGTGGGGGCGGGCTCTGGCGGCGCTCGGCGTGGGGCGCGGCGCTCGGTCGGGGGGGGTGGCGCGGGGCTCGGCGGGGGGGCAGGTTCCGGCGGTGCGACGCTCGGCAGGGGGGGCTCGGGGGGGCGGCGCTTTTTTTTTTTTTTTTTTGCTTCTTGGGGCAGCAAAAAAGTTAGAGCCGGCCCTGACTCCTAGAACTGAACGCTGTTCAACACAATCCCCCTAGTGGCTTCCCAACAGGTAGGAAGTGATGACCCATGTGTCAGTGCTAGGTATGTTGATGCCTGGATCTCACACCTCCCTCCATGTATAAATCTCCCTATAACTCTTTCTCTCCTGCCCAGTTCATCCTCCTTTTTGCCCTCCCCATATTGTACCTGCCTCTTTCCACTGTAAGTGAGGGTCTATTGACTCTTTGTTTCTTTTCCTGTAAGATGAAGCCAGCGGGAGCCCCTCCCTGCCCAGTGGGACTGGACCTCACTATGTTGTCCCAGAGAGCACTAGCTCTTTGGGGGTGAAGGCAGCACCCCCTACAAAAGAGAAGCCAAAGCGGAACGGAGGGCGTGGGATTGAGGATGTGCGTCCCAGTGTGGAGAGCCTTTTGGATGAACTGGAGAGCTCTGTGCCAAGTCCAGTGTGAGTACTGACCCAGCTGCTGTTCCCTTGGGGGCCGGGGGCATTGGGGCAGAGATGAGTCAGTGACTCCACACAGTTGAATGACAGCAGCTAGGGGAGTGCAGTACTAGCTGGGCAGATGGCCTCCTGTTTTCTTGGTAATGAGGGGATTTGCTCTCTCCAAACTGGGGAAGGTCAAGGAGGAAGTTGAAGATTGTGGCCATGTCGGCTTCTTTTTTGGGCTCAGATTTACTGCAACTGCCATTGAGTCAGAAGCTGCTAATGTTGGAAAAACAGAGAAGTGTATAATGGGTCATTTGACCATTTGGGGATACATGTTCAAATCCAGATGGACCTGTCCTCCATGAACGTCTCTAATTCTGTTTTGAACCCAGTTATGCTGACTGAAAATTGTCACCATCTGACAAAATAAATTGGGTGGGTCTCAGTCTAGTTCCTAATGGATGCTTGCTCGTATCACAAACTACCACAACTGCACTAATTGGCATCTTTGGCAGTCTCCTAGAGAGAGCAAAGGGTTGGAAGTGCCACAAAAGCTGATTTCCTGGAAGGCATGTTGAGGCGTTGTAGTGACTCGGTGTGGCTCCCCTCCTGCCCAGCAGAGGGAGTGCCCTTACAGACACCCAAGTGGGCGGAGCCTCCGCCGCCTGTTCCCGCCCCCCGGAAGTCAAGGGGCGGGACAGGAAGTATAAAAGCCGGCCGCCAGAGCTCAGTGAGGCCCCAGCCACCGCAGGGAGCAGACGTGCGGCCGGGAGCTCGCGGTCAGGAGACCTCCGAGGCCCGTGGCCGCTGCCCTAACTGGCCGGAGCTGCCCTGAGACCACTACGAGGAGGAGCCACCAGAGCCCGCCCGCTCCCGTCGTTGGGAGAAGCCGGTGGGATTCCCCCACACCAACCCCGAAGGCGAGACACCACCAGGGCCCCTCCGCCCTTGCTGTTACCCGGAGGAGCCGCCAGAGTCCACACCGGACTTCCCCGAGGAGCTGCCGGGAGGAACCCATGCTGATGGACTGGACTGGGCCTGGTGCCACGGATGAGGTAGGCCCTGAGGGGGAACCTGGAAGTAGCCCGGGGGTAGCCGACCCCGGTCAGGCTGCAGACACGTACGAGCCGATGTCAGTGTGTTTCGGACAGGATACCCCACTGACTCGCAGCAGCCGCTGCTAGGGCCCCGGGCTGGGACGCAGTGGAGTGGGTGGGCCTGCGTCCCCCCCCCGCCACCCCGCTCACGGGTGGCAGGCTTTCCCCCTCACCCAACGCTCAGGTATAGGGCCTTGGGCCTAGCCTGACCACTCTTGTATTGTTGCTCAGCCCCTGCCCCAAAGGGCCTGAGCTCCTTAACTGTTTGTTGCTCAGCCCCTGCCTGAGGGCCTGGGCCCTGAACTGGCTGTTTGCTTGTTCCACCGGTAGTGAGTCGGTGTGGCTCCCCTCCTGCCCAGGAAGGTCGAGCCCCGGCACGAACCTTCTACAGGCGTATTTGGGGTCCAAGTGTGGGGAATCTGGCTGTGCTGTTTTCCTTGCTGTAGCTGTCCTGGGAATAAACAGAATCCCAAGAGCTGAGGCTGTCAGCCTGGGATTTTTCACCACCACCACGTTAAAATGTAATGTGTGGTTTTGTTTTGTTTTTTATCAGCCCTGCCATCACTGTGAACCAGGGTGAGGTGAGCAGCCCACAGCGAGTCACCTCCAGCCAGCAGCAGACTCGCATATCTGCTTCTTCAGCCACAAGAGAACTGGATGAGCTGATGGCATCTCTCTCTGACTTCAAGGTGCCCAACCCTAATAACTTCTGATCTTGTGTTCTCCACTCACTTGTCTGTCATCCATTTCTACTGACCACCTCCTCTCCTCAGATCACCCACTGCAACCGCTACTCCTTGTACCAGTCAATTCTCGGTGGTGTATTAGTGCTGTCAAAGTGCTGCTGCAGGTGTGATTGGTGTGATGAAGTCTTATATCTGGCGTGGATAATGCAGAGACTTGTAAACTAAGTTTACTGCTCTTTAGATCTGTCAGGGTTTGCCCTAGTGTAGCATTCAAAGGACTAGGCTAATCTTCTGAAGTGGTGAGCAATAGATGCCAAGTGCAGATCTCATAATGTCCAGAAGTCTCTTAGAAGCAGGGAGGATTTTCTGATGTAACTGCTGCTGTGTGTTGTACCAAGTGCTTAGCTAGCATTCAGGGGTGTTTCTCCCCATGCCAAGCACTGGATCAAGGCAATGCCTATCTCTGTCAACATCATGAGGGGAAATCCCAGCTGGTGTAGTGCCCATTTTTTTTGTTCTGATTCAGGAAAAACACTTCATTGAAATAATGACTAACTGCACCTATGTTGCCCAGCAACACCAATTTGTACGGTGGGGATATCTTTTGTGGGGGATAGGGAGGAGTGTGACAGTGTGTGATTCACAGTGAAGTGAAATGCTTTGTTGGTAACAGATAGGAGCTGAGTTCTTCTAAGTGCAGAGTCGATTGTTTTGGTGGGTTGTAATTTAATAAGAAGAACCCATCTATTTACTGGCAAAGACCAGCCTGTGCTGCTCTGGAGGATATCTCCTTTGTTGCTCTTGATTCTTCCCAATCAAGAAGATGGGAGATGATTTTTGAGACTTCCAGGCAGATTTGGGCAGTAAAGATTTCATCTCAAAGGGCAAGAAATTTCCGGAGTTGGGTTCAGGTAAAAATGGGGTTAATGTCTAAGCCTTTTGGGGCAGGAGGATGGGAAGTGCTGCATCAACACATCTGCTGGAACATCTGAATTTTCATACTGGATCAGACCAATGATCCAGCTATTTCACTGGCTAGTACCAACTGGTTCAGAGGAAGGTTGAAGGGGGGGGGGAAGGAATAACCTGCCCATGAGGGAAGTTGCTTCCTCAGTTAGTGGTTACCTTATGACCTGGAGTGGGAGGGTTTGTATCCCTTACATAAGATTTTTATATAGATATCACACATGCTCACACAAACATTGGATGGTCTCATCCTTTCAGATGTATAGTACTTTGTCTTACAATGCATAGCTAACCTGTGGAACTCACTGCCACATGATATCATTTATGCCACAATCTTCGCAAGATTACTAAAAGATTCCATTTTATGATTTTTAATATTTTGAATTTTACTTGAATTGAATCTCTCTTCTATTATGAGTGAGGGTAAAGTAGGAGTGCCTGACTTTCCCTCTTTATAACACTCATTATTTTGTGTATTTCTACCATATCCCCCTTAAGTCTTTCTTTCCCCCTAATCCAGTAAAGTCCCAATCTTTTCAATCTGTCTTCATATGAAAGCTTCTCCAGGCCTCTGACCATTTTTGTCACCTGAATGCCCTCTGTTCCCACTGTATTTATTTATTTTAGATGAGCAACCAGAGCTCAACAAAATATTCCAGAATGGGGGAGAGGGT